TAAACTACCCTTTTGTTGTTGTAGTTTGGTTCATCTAAGTTGCAGTGTGGGCGGCGAAAATTGGCAGTTGGTGCCACGTGCGCGGCATTTGCACCAGGACCGAAATGGTTCTGTGCGGTAATGCTGCGGTGTATCAAATCGACAACTCAGAAAATATTCTGCAGGTTCATGCGCTATGCCCGACTCGGATATCCTGAATTGCACCCTCTCCTTCTGTTTTGCGCACTGCCCTATTACTGTTGTAATACTTTTACAACAGTAATAAGGCAGTGCACAAAATACAACAGTAATAGGAAGTACCAGCAGCGCGGCTGCTGCCTTGTCAGCTCAGTCGCAGAAGTTCTATGGCCATGAGGGAGATGTATAGTTTGTAACATTTCAATTTGTCGGTGGCGGCGAGCAGAGTACAGCATCGTGATGTGTAGGATGGTAGTGTCAGTACGACCCCACCCCCTTCCCCAGTACCTACCTACCGATTTACCCACATTTTCCAGTTCTTCACTCAACATTTTCCGTCGAGCGAGGGGAGCCACGACCCCCCCCCTCTCCAGCGGAAAAGTACGACCCCCCCATGTGTTTCCCACAACGATGCTGTACCCTGGCGGCGAGCGCAGCGCGGCACGAGCTCGCGTCCGGCTGCCTTGCTCTACCAATGGTGATCGAGCAATGATCGATGTAGGAAGGAATCAGCCACTGGTGGGAAGGCCGCAGGTGGGAACCGCTGATTGCGACCCGACAGGTCGCGGTGATATAAACTGTACATCGCCATGCCATAGATCATTGCTCGGGTTCTTTCGACAAAAATCTGGAAGGTCTTCATGAGAGACACAGTTCCATATTTGCCCATTTTCTTCTCAGCAGGTTTCTGCTTCCATCAAGAAAGTCGCGGCCAGCGAATCATCCCTCTTTTGAATACGAAAGAAAATTCAATAGAAATTTAATGGCATAGAGGTACTTCAGAAAGATTTTCACTCTTCTATTCCAGGTTTTCGTTTTGGCTTGACGTCGATGCAGTTCCTGCGAGGGTTTCTCTCGCAATTACAACTTTGCTCACTCTCTCTACGCAGGCTAACGCTGCAAGAATGGCATTACCAGAGGTATTTAATTTGATCTGATGAGCTTCTCTACAAAAGTTAGTCAGAGGTTGCTTTCTCCGGTGGATTATGAGAACGCTTGTCGTTGTACATGTGACTGCTGATGAGCCAGAGGAAAGGCGTTGTCCTTCAAAAGGAAAAAGCTTTAAATAGGACTCTGAAAGATTCCTGCAATAGCATAAGCATAAATTACTGGTATGGGCGCAGCTTACTAGATCAACGCTGCGGCGTTGCGAGCGGTATAGCGACATGACGTCTGCTCATCTGCACCAGGATTCAGTTGGTTTGACTTGAAGCGCTATGTCGAGTCAACTAGCTAGGCACTACTAATGCCTTCGTGTGCGATGCCGCAGCGTAGATCTCCCAGCCTACATCCATTAGTGGGAGATGTGCTACTAGACTAACTCCATCTTGTTCAGGTGTCGTACATGAAAGCGATCGACGTTTGGATGGGTGCCTGTATGATGTGAGTTCATTCTGGGAAACAATAAGATTTTCTGATTCTGTTTAGTTATTTATACGATGTAATCCGAATCTGCGATTTGGGGTGATATGTTGAATCAGACAGCTATACACCAGAGTGCACGCATGATTTATGAACTTGAAGTTGTAACGTGGTCATTGCACGAGAGGCAACATATACAAGTTTTGGTTGAGCATCCGAAACTGTCGAAAACCGAGCGCACTCTCTGTCATAAAGCGCAGTAAGCAGGTTCGCAATGCAGCGACGCGATTCAGCGGCGTTCGAGGGATTAAAAACTATCGCACTTTTGATCTACGCGTATGCCAGCGCCACAGCATGCCGTTTCCAGCTTCCACCATCGACAGAGTAGAGAGTATGAGAAGTAGGAGGGTAGTGGACCTGCTGGGTTAGGAGGGAGTAGACAGTTGGATATAGAGCGTCAGTGGAAGTTGTGGGCGTCGCAGGCCGCATACGTTCTAACACATTACGTATGGTCGTTATCCTGGTCGCTGAGGCGCAGGAGCCACTAAAATGATATCCATAACTTTGCTAGTCTACGAGACATATGGTCGCTGGCGTACGCTCGGAGCGCATGGTCATTGGCGGAGGTCGCTGGTGACGCTGCCGCAAAGTATGAACGCAGCCTCAGATCAATACCAGTGCCAGTGCCAATGAGAGTCGTTGCTAGGGCGGTAGCGGTCGTTTGTGTTCTTCTTCTTGACCTGGTGCACGTGGCCCTGATCTCCGGTGACAGAACGATTGTGAAAATCTCAGTTCCAGGTTTGTTTTCGGAGTGATGATAGAATTCACGATTGTCAACTACGCTCAACGTCAAGGTTGTAACTTAATTCAATTTCCATTGAAAACTGCATCTCGAATAGCAAATTTTCAGCATCCACTGATCATCAAAATACGAAGAAAGCTCCTGAGGGTTTTAGTCAAAAAGCACATCGAGTCTTTGACAAGTTTCGTGGTCGAGGAGAGAATCATCGAACATTAGAAGAAGTAAGTACCTGATTCTGGGAGGATAAAGGATAAAGTCTTCGTCGTTGAGCGATTGCTTTTTGGGATGCAACATGTCTTTTTCCATTCAGAATCGTAGAGGCTTATTGATGAGGCCTACACATTAACTTCCAGGGCATACCAGATTGTACAAGCCAGTGTTGTTATCCACCCAGACGAATCTGGTACCAGTTCAGTCCCTGTAGAGTATGAGCCTTGGTTGATCCAGGTGTGAGCCGATCCGGATCCGCTGTTTGATCTGTGGATCTCATGGTGCGAGTGCCGCTTTTCACTACACCACCTCCGCCTGTGGGATAACGTTCAGCCAGCGCTAAACCCGTTCTCTACCAGTTGCTGAAGCGTTTAAGCGACAGGAAGTGGTGAAAAAAAAACTAATACAAACGATATGATGCAGTCTGCCGCTTATTAACTTCAACAGCTGGTGGAGGGCGGGTTTGGCACCGCGTCAAACCCACCCCACCTAACCCGCTCCCTTCTTCACAGCGAGAATCTAGACCATAAGTCATCTTAAGACAGTTTAGCTGGCTGAGAGGAGGTGGCGTTGGGTGGCGCACTCGCCCGCGAAGCCAGCATCCAGACTTCATTACTACGCGCTGTAAGCGCTGTAATGTGCTACGATTGCAACCACGCT